AAAAAAAAAAAAAAAGCAACAACCTCCACACGAACCTCCACCCCTCTTTGTAAAAGAACGACGGCCCCTTGAGGAACTAGAGCCAGCCCCAGCAATCATGGGTTAAGTTCTTTTCCGGCCCCCCATTCATAAAAAAAGGAGAGCTGCGCATGCGCATTCGGGGTCTCTTGTGCCCACCCATTCATAGAATCGCGGGCGGCGCGCATGTGCACTGGCGCTCCCTTCCCTCCCATTCATAAAAAAGCCATTTTCCCAGGCAGTGGTTGCAACATCGCAGCCGAGGCAGCGAACAAGGCTGACAGCGCGGAGCTGGCGCTGTGGAGCAAAGGGAGCCTTGCCGGTTCCTCCGACCGGCGTCTGCGAGTACAGCAGGAGCTGACCTGCTTGGGTTCCGGGATTTACACTGACGTGGAGCGATGCTTGTGACTCTGCGGCTCCTCAAAGTAAGTCCATGACCGGTTTGGGGATCCGAAACTGCTCCCCTCTGAGCCGCGAACGACTCCCCTTCTGGCTGGGGCAAACGGTACGCTATTTCTAGGCGCGCCTTAGTGTTCCTTCCTTCTGCCTGCGCCTCCTTGAGTCGCTGCGGTGCGCCGCAGCTCCCTGACGCCCTCGGCCCGGCCGGCAGGGCGCCGAGGGTGTTCATAGCCTGGCACCACCGTTTCCGACCCCTGGGCATTGCTAAGCCCGGCTTCCCCGCCCTCTGCGACTTGGGAAGCCCTGTGCGTGTCCCGGGAGTTTGCCTTTGGCCTGGCCTCTTTCCTGCGCCTGCCACCACCCGCCTTGAGCTCTGGAACGGGACGCTCTGGGCTTGGTCAGGAGCCACCTCACGGGTCGGGGCGCCCTCAACCTGGGCGGCTCGCCCACCTCCCGGCTCAGTGCCCACGGTGCCAGCTCTACCGTATACTTCCTCAGTCCACCGCAGGGGCCTATGCTCGACGTGGATTTTTCTTTCTCCTTTGGAGCAGTGACGGACTGGGTTTTCTCCCCTTTTGCCTTTCTTCCCTTGATGGGCGCAGGGCCGGCCCAGAACTGGGCATTTCTGCTCCCTCTTCTTGGCAAGGCGGTTCCTAGCCGTCTGACCTTTGCTCCGCTGCTGCATTTTATGCTGTGCAACTGCGTTGCAGTTGCCTTTTCCTTCTTCGGCTTCTGCAGGCCCCAAGGCTGCTCAGCCACCCCTTGCCTCCCTGTCCCCCGGTACCGAGGTATGCCAGGCCCAGGGGCCCCCGGGCCGCGCTAGGACTGTAGTGGGGGCTGAAGGTGCGTTTACATAACGCCAAGCATGTTGGAGCTGGAGGAAGAGGTTGGGAACGTAGGAGAGATAAGGCTCCCACTTTCCCTCCTTCCTTCTTGGTGGTACCAGGTTTGACATCACCTAGAAAAGAGGATAGAGACGGTATGTTCCGAAAAATCGTGAATCGCCAAAGCTCCGGGAGCAGTGAGCTGGGTGAGGGCGGGTTTGGTCAGACAGGGCAGCAAGGACTTGGCTCCATCACTGGGGCCGGGGCTGTGCCCAGTTCCCTCTCCATGCAGATGATCAAAAAGCATTTAGACAGTAGCTACTCTTGTGCAAGAAGACGGTTTCTCAATTCTCTTTGATTGAGAGCTGGGGGTTGTGGGCAGAAGAGACAAGAGGGGAAATCATGGCATGGCTTGAAGGGCTGAGGGATGGAGGAGAGACAAAAATGGGCCAGAGGGCCTGGATGGTAGGCAGAGGGAAGAGCTCCTGCCTGCCTCCTTCACGAGCTGCTGGGTGGCCATCCATATTTCTAGGCCTGGGTGTAGGTAGCAGTCCACCTTCTTGGCACAGCAAGCAAGTCTCTTGGGAACCCCCCAACATGGTTAGTGCTGGAGAAAAAAGTGTAGGGCAACCAGACCTAGTGGCATCCCCTTTCCTGCCTCCAAATCAGTGGCATGATTCTCTCCAGCTTGGGGAGAGGCCAGAAGAGAACCTGCAGAGAGGCAGGAGCAAGCTCACGTCTGTCTGGTTAGCTGGCCAAGACTCTCTAACCTTTCTGACAAACTTCTTCGGGATTCAAAGCTGGAAGGTAAAGGCCCTGAGCAGTTGGGGAATGAGGGTTTATCAATTTCTTAATGAGCTCAGTTTGGCTTAAGGCCCTTCCCAGTATTGCACTGGTGGATTTCACAATGTTTTGAGTTCTCCAGATCTTCATACAAATGCAGCATAAACATCTGAAATTTTTAGCTTTTTTTTCCTTTAGTGGAAGTGTGGGACAGCAGGAAAGGGAGAGCTCCAGTTGGTCCCCTCTCTCTTTCTCAAGGGTGGGAAAGAAGTTGCAGAGATGTTTAGTGTGAAATTGCAATTCCCTGCCTTCGCATCCCTTGGGAGGCTCCTCACGTGCCTGAAGATTCTAGATTAATCCTAACTGAACAGTGCATACACTGGCCAACTGAGCTATGTGGCTGGCCTTGGTGATGGTAGTGGGGGTGGTGCTGTGGATGGGAGGCAATTTGGTAACAGTATTCTGAGATCTCAATGGACAGAGGCCGTTGAGCTATGGTGTGGGAGACTTTAAAGATGTTTATTTTCCGTTTTAGATTCTGAACTCAGGAGTTACTCCGTTTTCGCTGGGGTATAAATGGTTTCCTGTCTAGCCCCATGACCTTTTCCAGATTATACCAGATTACCCTCTGAAATGGCAGCATCTCACTGAATAAAGATTTGGTTAGATGAGGTGGAACACAGAGAATAGAATGATCCAGGCAAGAGCAGGACAGAGGCTAGGGGCTTGGGGGCATTTTGGAGCTCTTAGATGTCATTTTTTTCTGCATCCTTCCAGATGGGTGGAGAGATCTGGCTGTTTGGAAATCTGCTCTCTGCCCAGTTCATACCCTTGACCTCCTACTTTGGTAAACCTGACATTGCATATGCCCAGAGGTTTTGCTGACTTCCTTGACTAACAGTGATGGTACCCTTTTCCTGCAAAAGTGATTTCAGAATTAGGGAGGAGGAAGAAACCCATTAACACTTTCTAAAGTGTCCCTTGAGGTATGTTGCTGTGGGTTTATTATTTTGGAATCACATGTGAGGCTTCCATTTCCAATGCTAAAGTCCTTTGGTATGATACCTTATAAACCCACAGATATGGGACCCTGCAGCATTTTTCTGAACTCTGGGCATCCTATGAGGTAGGACCTGGCTATTACAGGTATCAAGGAGGCCAGGAAAAATTCTTCCTTCTTTATTTCTTTGAAAACTGTAGCATTAATCTGGCTGTAAATTGAGAGCACCTGTCATCTGGTCCCTACTTGAGGTGGGAGTTCTCTTGTGATGACAACCTGGATCTTGCCCAAGCCTCTTGCCCATCCAAAAATTTGGGGGTTTGGATGCAAACATGGCAAAGTTTTAAAGGCAAGGAAATGGCAAGAGTCGAGATGGTTCCATGTCAAGGCCAACCTGAATCTTCCTGACAGAGGGGAAAGCAGTGACTCGTTAAAGTATGTTTGCTTTTTCAAAATTGCCAGAGGAAGAAAGAGAAGAACAACATATGGACAGCTGCATTGCTCCTTCCAGACCAGGCCAGTGGCTAAGCAAACCTGCGAAGTGTGTCTTTAGTTTACCTCTCTGCAGAATAAAGAGAACCGGCTCCTCCCAAGGGGCCAGGGGCCAGCAGAATTGCTAGTGAGTGGCCAAGACTAGGGCCATGGTCATTGTTATTACAAGGCTTCTAGGAGGACAGCCTCATTTCCAGAGCACTCCTTCCTACACAGGAGGTGTGGGGTATTGCATGATGTAAGAGGCGGGGTATTCTTGGCTCTCAGGGGCCTGGGGCCACCCTTCAGATCCGGACATCTGACAAGGCTAGGGAATGTATCCGGGCCATGTGTCTAGGCTTAAGAGGCTCCACAGTTCAGCTGTGATCACGATTGTTCTTTCCAAGGACAGGCCCCACTCTGTGAAGGAAGCAAGGGCACTGGGGACGGAGCACAGATGTGCTGGATCCAGGAGAGGAGGGAAGGGGCCCGGAGGGGCAGGCTGCCACTTGCAGAAAAGTGGTTTCCCTTGTGGGTAGTCTTTCATTCTCTAGTGGGGGAAGGGGAAGTAATTTCCTGCCCCGTCCCAGGAGTAAGCTAAAATCTATTATTGTGAGTCCATTTCTTGGTGGAAGATAGGGAAACAAATACTGTAATATGATCTTGGTGTTTATCGATGGGAGGAAGCCCTCCCCTGGGGGTCTAGGGTTCTGGTCCCAGCTCAGACCGTGACTTGGGCCAGCAGTTCCCAAACCCTGCCAGTGGTTAGCAGGTTCCTTCAACCTCTCTCTTCTTTTCTGACTCTTGACTTCTAATTCCTCTTTATGGGTACGTGTCATGACAACAATTAAGGGGGTAATACATTGAAGCAGAAACTTGAAACTCATTAAAATAGCCCCAAATCAAAGTACAGCAAGACTCCCACCCGTTCTTGTGATGCAGCTTTGGCGCTCAGCTGATTGGTTGTGGAAGAAGGGAAAGAGTTGGGAACTGATAACTAGTGATGAGACAAAGTGATGACAAGCAACTATTTTCTTTTGTGATTTCTAACAGAGTTTAACCAGAAGTGAGCTCCTTAGTGCTGGGGGTTGAGGATAGGAGGAAGACTCCTTCCCAGACAAATCCAGCTGCTTAAATGCTTTATTCTCCCACTGGGGGCATTCTCAGCAAAGATTATCTTTCTCCATGAGGTACAGGGAGGGGCAGTCCCTGGCTTCCCTCTCTAGCCACTGCCCCACCTTTAAAAATTTCTTTTAAAGCAATAAGTCATCATTTGGTTGTAGCTTAATTTTCTAAACTGGGATATTGTCTCAAAGAATCCAGGAATAAGTGGTGGGCGGGCTCTATGGCAGCCAAAGAGACCTTTATTCTGAGATGTTAAGGGGTTAAACAGCCTTCACTGAAAGAACCTGCTGAGACTGAATGGGGCAGTGCAGAAACTGCCCATTCATTTAGAGCCTCTTGCCACTTTAGCTGACCTGTAGTTTTCAAAGTACAACTGTCAGATTTTCCCAATATTTCCCAGCTCCCCTCCCTAGGGGTAAGTTAAGAGAAGGGTGTGGGTGAGTGGGAATAGGCATCTCTCCCAATTGTGCAGACATTTAACATGCCTCTGGATTCTCTTCAGCCAGCCTGTATTGAGTGGGTTTGCAGCCTGGCACCCAGCCCCCTCCCCAGGTACCAAATGCATTGAATGTCAGACTGGCTGGCTCTGGAGTCACAGACCCACCAAGCAACAAATAGGATAGTGTGCTCCAAGGGGGTTTAATGCCCTGCTTGCTGATTCAGTATTCCAGGACTCTCTTCGTACCCTGGCTCCTCTTTGCCTTCTTGAGACCTGGGCCAGGAAGTCCCATCAATGAAAGGGCCCTAGAGACCCTTAAGTACAACTTGATAGGTAAGAGGAAAGGGAATTCCCTCTCCCCTCTCACCCTGGCAGTTTCCTTTTAGGGACTGCTTGGTAATGAACTATTTAAGTGAGACCTACTCAATTTTAAGAAAACTGAAAAATGATGAATACTTAGTAAAAGGGGAGTGAGGTGACAGAAGGGGACACCAAAGAGCACTGAATTGGGAGTAAAGAAAACTAGAGCTCTGAGCCTTCCCTGAGTAACAGATTATATACAGCCCATGTCCCCCCACCCCCACCCCCTTCACTCTCCACACTGAAAATTCCCCCCAAGGGCCATCCAGTCTGCTGTAATCCTTGTCTGGTTTAGCTTCTCTGCTAGTTGGGTTACTGAGCCCCAGGGTGGCCTGATGAGGTTCTCTGAGGGCTTGAGGAGGTTATGGTCATAAAAGAGATTGTTGCTTTCCTACCTTCCATGGACACCCAGAAGCTATAGAGAGCTTCTGCAAATCATTATTATAAGTCTGGACTATATGATTGAGGTTCCAACTGTTCAGCTTCCCAAGCTTCTAGTGCCTGGGTTCAAATCCTGCCCTGACACTTGCTAACTCTGATCTTCCGTGCTGTTTCTTCCTCTACAGAGCCTGGCACCAAGAAATGTTTCTTAAATATTAACTGCTTCCATAATTATTATTTATTATTAGTAGAAGGTTGAGTGAAGGTAAAAGTTTCCTTCCCTTGTACTAATCCATAAGAGTGTCACCTAAAATTTGATAGAGGTGCTTTTTGGCTAAGTGGAATGCTGGCTTTGTTTCTCTGTCCAGAGTCTTCCAAATTGACCATCAGTCTCTTCCAAACTGCCTAAATGAGGAAAGCCTCCTCTCTCCTATTTATATTATAAATCTCTTCCTTCCTTGCAGGGGAAACAGAGAGAGTACATATTAAACTGCACTTAAGGTTGTCAGCCTTGCTTAGACTGGAAGGTGGGTGTGTCCCGGTGAGTAGAGATTGATCAGTCTAAACCAAATGAGAGTTGGGGTTTTTTTTTTGAGATATCATTTAGCTGTGCTGTGGGGTTATCAACCAGGCAGCTCAGGAAGTTGTTTTCCTTTGTCAGCCAAATAAATTCATCAGAGGCTCTTCGAGGGCCCTCCTGTGGAGGGTTCCTGTTAATGGGGGAGTGAGGCTCAAACCAGAGCTCTGAACCAGCCCTTGTTTTTGCTGAGCTGGTGCTCGGAAGGAGTCCTACATTAGGCTTATGATAGGGAAGATACATTTGAGATGGAATGTGCCCTGCCCGCTAGAGCCATCAGATGCTATGTATCCCAAGAGAGCCGAGAGCCAAGTCATTGTGGCCTGAGCTCCCACCCCCACGTCTGGCCTTAACTGCAGGCTCAGATGTTGACAGCTGCCCCTGGAGGGTGAAGGGAGCCTGCTAATGCCAACATCCCCATTGTCTGCAGCGGCTGTTCTCACCCTGGCTTCCTGGTGGGACTTTTCCATAGATGAAGAAATCTGCCTTCCGATTCCAGGGCATATTGGAATCTCTGAGTATTGCCTATTCCTTTTGATTCGGCTATGGGAAATTGGCTGGTTTCTTATTGTTTGGTTTGTTTTTTCTTTTGAAACAGAGTCTCTGCTCTGTCACTCTGGGTAGAATACCATGGTGTCATAGCTCACAGCAACCTCAAACTCGAGGGTTTAAGTGATCCTCCTGTCTCACCCTCCCAAGTAGCTGGAACTGCAGGCACTGGCCACAACACCCAGCTGGTTTTTCTACTTTTAGTAGAGACAGGGTCTGGGTCTTGCCCAGGCTGTTTTCAAACTCCTGAACTTAAGCAATCCACCTGTCTCAGCTTCCTGAGAGTGCTAGGATTATAGGTGTGAGCCACCACACCCAGCCAATGTGGCTGTTTATAATGAACCCCCAGCTCCCCGTAAATGAACTGGGGAAAGGAGGGTGGATGACCTACGTACGGGAGAGGAGTGCTTCTACTTTTTTCAACAGCATGACCAGTCTAATCTTGGTCCTGAGAGACAGAAGCCCAACTACATGGGATAATATGAACTTCAAACTGCCACTGACATTTTGGTGGCAGGACCTCGAGTATCCCTGACCTGGGTCTTTGTCTAGGGTTGAGGAGGGTTCTGGGTCTATGGCACTTTCTTTTACTTTTTATTTTTTTGAGCCAGGTTATCTCTCTGTTGCCCAGGCTAGAATGCCATGGCGTCAGCCTCGCTCAGCAACCTCAAACTCCTGGGTTTGAGTAATCTTCCTGACTCAGCCTCCCAAGTAGTTGGGACTTACAGGTTCTCTTGCTCAGGCTGATCTGGAACTCCTGAGTTCAAGCAATCCACCTGCCTCAGCCTCCCAGAATTCTAGGATTACAAGTGTGAGCCACTCCATATGGATATTTATATGGATGGATAAGTCCCAGAGGGTCAGGTGTCATTCTCCTGTGACTAGAATAGGGGGATGGTCCAAAGTGTGTGCTGAGTCCAGGGGGACCATGGGTTAACTGGAAGTGGAGCCAGATGAACCTAACAGTAGAGGGGCAGGATCAGCTCTCCTAATTAGGACATCATTAGCATCTTGAAAAAGCATTTGTGGAACCCCCCCCTCATAATGTGATAATTGGTGGTCTTTTCTTGTCATTCTAAAGACTGTTTTCCCTTCTACCCTCCCACTCCATCCCCTGGGGTTCTTTAACATTGGGGTGGAATCTTCCCAGAGTTTAATCTTTCTCTTGGATTCCAAGTTGTGTTCCCTTGAGCAAAGGTCCTGGCCTTCTGGTGCTATTTCTTTAAAATTGATCTCCAGCAGAATTCCAAATGTAAAGGTCAGCAGGCAAGGAAATGGCACTTCTAATAGAAAACAATGTGCACTTTCTAAATTTGAACCAAGCAGTTTCCGCTCTTTGATTTAAGTGACTTCCTGGGGTTCCGTGTCAGGCAGTGCAGTTGAATCTCTGGCCAGATTCCAACTTAAAATTGCACTCTCTCGGTGAAATTAGAAACTTATCCAGGGTTGGCTTAGCTATTCTAGTAAATAGCATTTAGTCTGAATGATCAGCTCAGAGCTTGGAAATGGATGATGTGAGTGCCCCTTGAGAGGATTTCCCATCCCAAGCTGTCAAAAGCTCACATACCCAGGGCTTATTAGCCATTGGAGGTTACTTATTTAGAAGTGATAGTAATAAGTTAATATCCTGGATGTGCAGGCATCAGATACAGCCCTTCTCTCGTGAATATCTGAAATAAAGGTTTTGTCTACCTGGCTGATAAATTCCATGGGAGCACGCAGGGGCTGTTTCCACCACACTATCCTTCATACCTGGCATAGTAATGTTTGGTGCATAGTGCTTATAGGTGTGCAGGAAATCTAAACTCTTATTCTCTGGGACACTGATAAGTTATTTGAGTACTTGCATGTCAGGCAATATGGTAAGCACGGGATATGCATTTTTTTCATTTAATCCTCACAGGAACCCGTTTTACAGAAACAAAACTAAGGTATAGATGTGAAAGAACTCATTCATAGCAATACTGTTAGGCTGAGTTGAGATTCAAACTTGGGTCTGATTCCACATTCTGTGTTTTATAACCATTGAGCTATATATCTTAAAAAAGAAGTAAGTTTCATAGTGATTTATCAGGATGAACTGGCATTGCTCAGGCTTGAGTCTTGGTCCTGCTCCCAATCTGTTGTGTGACTTTGGACAAGTTATTTGAATGTTAGCTTTTTTTTCTTTTTTCTTTTTGAGAGAGTTTTTTTTGCCCTCAGTAGAGTGCCGTAGTAGGTTGCCTTACAGCAACCTCAAGCGATTGGGTGAGCCTCAGCCTTGCCTCAGCCTCCCAAGTAGCTGGGACTACAGGCCACAACACACTGCTATTTTTATTTTAGACAGGGGGTCTCACTTTTGCTTAGGCTGGTCTAGAACCTGTGAGCTCAGGCAGTTCACCCGCCAGGGCCTCCTAGAGTGCTGGGATTACAGATGGGAGCCCCCTTTTCGGGCCTGAATATTAGTTTTCTGTAAACCAGAAAAGTAGTTCCTTTTTGTGATGGTTGTAAAGAGTAGTGACTTCATGTATATGATGCTTGTGAGAGTGCCTCCACATCTTAAGTTCTTAGTAAGTATTATTTCTACCACTGACTATCATTGTTGGTGTTATTAATCATCTAAGCCTTGGGAATTGCTGGAAAGTTCACTGAAGGAATTTAGTTCCCATTTCATTTGGGCTCTCAAGGACCTGATGGGGTGGGCGTTAACGGGCTGCATACTGATTCCTGGAATCCATTCTTTCTTCCTTTTCCCCACCCCACCCCAGGGCCCCTAGAAGCCTGTTTCTCCGTGCAGTCAAGGACCTCCAGCCCCATGGAGCCCCCGATCCCACAGAACACCCCCCTGACTCCTAGCTCAGTCATGGTGCAGCCCCTTGACAGCCGGATGCCCCACGGCCGGCTCCAGCACCCGCTCACCATCCTACCCATTGACCAGATGAAGACCAGCCACGTGGAGAACGACTACATAGACAACCCCGGCCTGGCCCCCACTATGGGCCCCAAGCGGACCCGCAGCGCGGCCCCAGAGCTGGCCCTGACACCCGCCCGCTGTGACCAGGATGTTACTCATCACTGGATCTCCTTCAGCGGACGCCCCAGCTCTGTGAGCAGCAGCAGCAGCACATCCTCCGACCAGCGGCTCTTAGACCACATGGCACCGCCACCTGTGACCGACCAGGCCTCACCGAGGGCCGTGCGCATCCAGCCCAAGGTGGTCCACTGCAAGCCTCTGGACCTCAAGGGCCCAGCGGTCCCACCGGAGCTGGACAAGCACTTCTTGCTGTGCGAGGCCTGTGGGAAGTGTAAATGCAAGGAGTGTGCGTCCCCCCGGACGTTGCCCTCCTGCTGGGTCTGCAACCAGGAGTGCCTGTGCTCGGCCCAGACCCTGGTCAACTACGGCACGTGCATGTGCCTGGTGCAGGGCATCTTCTACCACTGCACCAACGAGGACGATGAGGGCTCCTGCGCCGACCACCCCTGCTCCTGCTCCCGCTCTAACTGCTGCGCCCGCTGGTCCTTCATGGGCGCGCTCTCCCTGGTGCTGCCCTGCCTGCTCTGCTACCTGCCGGCCACTGGCTGCGTGAAGCTGGCCCAGCGTGGCTACGACCGCCTGCGCCGCCCCGGCTGCCGCTGCAAGCACACGAACAGCGTCATCTGCAAGGCGGCCAGCGCGGATGCGAAGGCCAACAGACCCGACAAGCCTTTCTGACACTTTGGGTTGAAGCCCCAGCGCTCCACCTTCCATTCTGACACCTGAGAAGACTGGTACCAGGCCAGAGCTGGTATCCCCCCGCGGCTGACCTTGCTGTCTACTCCCCACCCCAGCTTCGGAGGATACAGAGTCCACCACCACAAACACTCTATTCCTCAAGAGTGAAGAAGCACTTGGGGTTTTTTCAGGGTCTTGGAACTTTGTGTCAAACAGACAATGACAGGGACAGGGTGTGGTTTGTTTGGGGGCGGGGGGGGGGGGGGGGGGGGGGGGGGGGGGGGGGGGGGGGGGGGGGGGGGGGGGGGGGGGGGGGGGGAGATCTTTCTTTTTCAGAAGAAGAAGGACCACAGATGTGGACATATCTACGGAAGCTGCAGCTGCTTGAATGCCTTTCCAGCCCCTCCTCCACCCTTCCTCTCTCTCTCCCTCTTTTCCATTGTCTGTGGCTCTCAGAGGAGCTGGCTGCCTGGGAAGAATTGTTAACTGAGTGCCAGGGTACCTTTGAAGAAGACCCTCGGTGGCCTGACTTCTACACCTTCTTTTCCTTCCCCCTCCTCACTCCGCTCTAGTTTGCCCCCCAGCCTTTTGGGGAAGGCATAGAACACCCTAGCAATCCCTGCTGTAAACACGTGGGAGCCCACTGAGAACAGAGGACAGCCTGGGAGTCCAAGCCTTGCTGCTCCGCTCCTGCCTCCCCGGAGCTACAGGATGGATTTAGGAGCCACTGTGCAGTGTCTCTCTCCCTTCCAACTTCGTCACTAACTCTTGGGGTGTTCCATTCATCACACCCTCTTTCGGTTCTTACTGAGTCACAGGCTCGCCTGCCCACAACATGTCCGAGTTCTCTCTACTTAGATCCTTTCCAGAAACTTTATGGGTAGAGAAGAAGCCCAGGACAACAAATGCGAGACCAAATATCATTTTGCCAATGAGTCTGAGGCTGTGGTCTCTAGATCCAGTCATTATGTTTTTATAGAATAATTAAACCAGATGCTAATGATGTTTTAGAAAATAATAAAACAACTTGCTTCCTTTTGGGCCACCCCCAGGAAGGGCTGATTTCAAAATCTGGGGGCAAGCAACCTCAAGGAACACAATTCCCCTCCCCACCAAGAAGAGGATTTTAACAGCAAGGAAGAGAGGCAACACTTCCCATTGGCAGAATGAGTGACTGTTGAGCCGAGCTGGGTTTGGGTTTCTTCTCTTCCGATTCTGCTGCTTGCTGTCATAGCCTTTTGTGTATAGTGATGTGTCTGTATCTTTAATGTAAATAGAGAGATGAAAAAGAGTCTATTTTAGTTTTAGGAAGCCTCAGTGAAGGCAGGGGGTGTCAGAGAGCTCAGAAGAGCTGAAGAGCTGAAGGGTGAAGGATTCTCTTGGGGCCACTGGGGTGGAGCCCTGCTTTTGTGCATAGCCACACCGCCCTCTCCTGACAGCCCCCAAAGACGTAGCAACTCTTTCTCTCAAGGTGCTAAAGGACTCAGAAAGTGCAGCACGTCCAGTGGGTAGGTACTTGTTGCATGCAAAAGCTGTAATGTGTCTGGTCCTTCCTCCCCAGCTGTTGTGTGGGGTTTTTGCTTTGTGTGGTCATTTGTTTTTTCCCTCTAATGAGAGGGCCTGACCTGGGTTGGAAGAGCTTCCCCAGGTGAGACTGGAAGTGCGTTAGGCAGACCTCCTGTCACGCTTCCAGCTTGTTCTGTAGGAACAGAACTGCCTCCAGGAAGGAGGCAATGGGGAAGGTAGCTGTGATTGGCACGCACCCCATACTTCTCCGGGACCTTATTTTTCCTTCTTGAAGACTTAGTAGTAACACCTTATGATTTAGAATAAGTTAATTGTAACCACAGGTATTTATTGATTGGAGGAAGGGAGGGTCATATTATTTTCGGCTTTATTTATGTAACATTTGCTAGCTTGTAAAAGGCGAATGTGAAATATTTGCATCTGCATTTTCTAAGGCTGATTCATGTAGCTCCCCTTGCCATGGTTGTGATGGACATAAGGATGTTCTTGAACATTTCAGAGGGAATAGTAGGAAAAAAGTACGTACTCAGCCAACCACTTATACTAATTGAATGTATCAGAAGTGTACTGAAGGGACTGGAGATGTTTCCTCAGATGAGGTGGCCCCCAAAACAATAGCGCACATGTGCACTCTTTTCACAAGGCCACAGAACTGTCCCCAGGGCCCCTCCCTCAAATTGTATGGGAAACAACCCAGTGGCAAGTTGCACTTTGGTGAACTTGGTGGTCTACACACCCATTCTGTGGAGAATTGATTTATATAAGCTGTGTATGCACACACACACATGCACACACTACATCAACCCTCTACCAACATAGACCCTATTTCCTGGCCTCCTAAATCCTGACATTTTGTGTACATAGTTGTAAACACGGATTTTCCTGGGTTTTGGTTTGCTCTTTTTCTTTTTTCGCCTCTCCCTGTTTGGGATTGTTCTTTTTTGGTTTGCTCTCAACTTGCTGCAGAGACGTTGGCAGCACTCTTCCCTGAGAGTCCACCTCCTGCCACAGTGCTCAGTGGTGAAGGGAAGGGGTGAAGGAACCATCCTCGGTCCTCCAGCTCCAGTGTGTAGCAATCCCTCAGCTTCTTGGCAACAAAACAAAAGAAAAAAGCTGGCTTGCCCATGGTGGGCCCTCCCCACCCCTGGGGCCAGTGGTGGGCCACTGAGGGACCAAGCACTCAGAAATAGGACACATTTCTCTGGCTGCTTCTGCTGACTGTGTTCTGTACCAGCAGCCCACCTGGCTGGATTATGCCTTTTGGCCTTTTATGAAACACGCCAGCTGGTTCTTACTCCTGTTCACCTTGGGGGTGGGTGGTGGGTATTAGTCCTGCCTTTACTGAAAGTGGGGGGCCACGCCTGGATGCAACTGGGTCTGGGCTAGGAAAGCCCTCCCAGATAAATGGCAGGGTGTAGCCAAAGCTGCTCAGTCCAGGGCAGGAAGGACGTGAAAACCACTCCTTTCTCTTGGTGTGGGTCCCTTCACAGCCGATGGAGACAGAAGACCTCATATGGCATCACTAGTTCTTTCAGCCTTCGGGAGCCTACACTGATCGCCAAAGGTGAGGCCCGTGTAGAGAATGACTTGTCCAAGATTGCACACGTGAAAACTGTTGGTCTGGCCTGGGATCCAGATGACTGTCACCTTAAAGCGTCGTGTTCTCCAGTGCTGCCCCAGAAGGTACCCAATGGGATGTGAGCAGCATGACTTTGCACTGTACAATTCACTAGGGCATCCTGCAAGCTCCACCAGCCTTCTGGTTCACGCCTTTGATAAGCAGTTTCACGCTCTCTCTGCTAACTGTGACAGTCCATGACAACTCTTGAGTTGCCATTTTTTTGCTGTGGGTAACTGTGCAGTGTCTTATCTTGCTTTCTCTTCTTGCTGCTCCACTATTTGGTTTCACGTCACAGAGAAGCTGTTCAAGGCTCCCACCCGACCATGTTCCTGCTTTGTCTCCCCCTTCCACTGTAGCCCTTTTCACCCTACCACAAAAGCTACCACAGAAGGTTTTCTTTGTATAGAATATTTATTTTGAAGCTCTATTTTAATAGTATTTATTTTAGAAGGTCTACTATTGTAAGAGTTCTTCTGTTTGTGAAGAAAAAAAAAACAAGTTAAAAACTGAATGTACTGATCTAGAAAATATATATAAATATATATTGTTAAATATACACAGGACTGCTGTTTCTGGTGTGTTTGCGTGTTCACTTTCTTTTCTTTTTTTTTTTTTTGAGACAGAGCCTCAAGCTGTCCCCCTGGGTAGAGTGCTGTGGCATTACAGCTCACAGTAACCTCCAACTCCTGGGCTCAAGCGAGTCTCCTGCCTCCGCCTCCCAAGTAGCTGGGACCACAGGCGCCCGCCACAACGCCTGGCTATTTTTTGGTTGCAGCCGTCATTGTTGTTTGGCGGGCCCGGGCTGGGGATTCGAACCCGCCACCTTAGGTGTACGTGGCTGGCGCCTTAGCCGGTTGAGCTATAGGCGCCAAGCCGCGTGTTCACTTTCTTGACATCCTCACCCAACAAGGCTCCAAGTTTGTCAAAGAACACTTAGCAGCTGTGTGACATGGAGGTACAGATGGAAGGGTCATCTTCCCCCAGATAACCTGGGGACCACTGCAGGGAAAGCCCTGCTTGGGTATGAAGCTGAATTCTGCCAGACTGCCTCCCTGGCAAGCTGTCCTTTAAACTGGGACATGTCTAATACAGATGGACAACAAATCCCCCAAACTGGGTAGAATTAGGTGGAAAAGGGTAATCCAACCTGTCCATTTTCCCAAAATGCTGTAGCCCCTCTCCCATTATTCCCTGTATTTGGTTCCCAGTGCAGGTTTTCACACACATAGGGATATACACGCTTTAAGAAACCAAACAGAAATTTACCTATTTTGACCCCTCACACCTTCTACTCATCTAGTGACCTAATGCACCTTTCCTCCGGTTCCCTTGCTCCTCCCCTAGCCACCAAGACACTCCAGCTTAGAGACCCTGGCGCATAGCTGTGGGAACTTTTCCACCACCTTTGATTCCTATGCCCATCACAATGAAAACTGGACTTACAGAACATGTGAGTTCCTGCCTCTTGTTTTCTCAGAAAATTGAGAATTAGGAGGTCTTTTTTTCTACTATCAATAAGTGAGGGAGGAGACTCCAAAAATGTCAAGGGGTGGGTGAAGAGAGCCTGCTTGGAGGGAGAGATTAGGAGCCATGTGTCCAGTTCTTAGTTTTTCTAAGGAGTCACCAATTATGGCCCTCAGGATTCTTCATGAAATCCAAACCTCTTGCAGACATCCAAATGCGTGCCAAGGAGAGAAGACACAGGATAGTCAATATGGCCTTGTTTACTCTAAAGCTTTTATAGTAAGATAGACTCATTTTCTGTCCTCTGTCACCAGGCCATGTGGCCTGTCCCTTTCCCATAGGATGGAAAAGATTAATTAGTGCTGTAACCCTTCATGGACCAGGGTAAGTAAGACAAGGTAAGTAACCAGAATATAAGGATTGTCTTTGTAATTGGCTCAGTCCCAATTCATGTGTGCCACACTTTCAGTTTTGGGTTTTCTTGCAGGTGGAGACATAAGCAGGCCTGCCCCTGGTTTTACTTTCATATTTCCTAGTGTTTGGAGATTAAAAACAACACAAATCTATACAAGCCTCTGAACCCTTAAGATTTCACACCCCCACATGCTCTTGGGTTATCAGAGCTAAATGGTGTCTTGAGA